GGAACCCGGCTTCCCCGTGGTCTGGAAGGGGATCCTGCAGAACTGGTGCAGGAGTGCTTGGGGGACATGAAGCCCCTTGAGCCTGTGTCTCCCCCACACACTGAGAGGCTGGAGATGCTCTCCCAAAATTTATTTTGTGTCCATGAGTTTGGTCTGACCCACTGTCACCCCTCCTGTTTTCCTTCCCACAAACTCAAGCTGCCCAACCTGGTCTCTCTGCAGTGTCACGCATCTTTTCAAAACTCAGGTCTCATCTTTAGCTTTTTTCCTCCCTAAAACTTATTGATAACTTCTGGTTACACTTCGGTTGAAATTCGAAATTCTCAGAAACCCAAAATATAAATAAATTAAAGAGCACTATAAAGGATAAATGATAACTACTATGAAGGCAGCAATATGTAATGTATTAATTATTGTAACTGTCCTACTAACCTGTTTTGAAACTGTCTCAATGCTATTTCTTTCTCAATAAAATTAATTTTTTTTTTAAAAAAGGATAAACAATATGAAACAAGGAGCTAAAACTTTTGCCAAAGGGAAGGGGGCCAAGAGATAAAGAGAGAGGGTAGAAAAGGAAGGGAAAGGGGTTATAAAGGATGGAGATGTGTTCCGTCCATGTACCAACTTCCTGCGCTGAGTGTAATCATTATGTCCTACAAACATGTACTAATAAAAAGGCTTAAATTCAAAATTCTCAGCTGGATCCACCTTCCTGTGAGGCTTATGCTACTACGCCAAGCTTTTGTGACTCTTCTGTCACACATTCCCAGAGGACAGAAGTTCTTTTCTTCCCCACCGTGTGGCCTGTCCTGGGCACAGTGTTCTGTCCTGGCAGACCCATTTTCCCTGTCTTGCTTCTTGCTGCCCACCGCAGCTTGGAGGGCCTACCCAAAAATGCTTCTGCAGATCAGACACCCTCTCTTGGCACCTGGCAATTTTCCCTCACAGCACTTAGCACAATGGCAGTTATTTAGTTATTTTAATAATTTTCTCAATTCTGTTGCTCTCACTGGATTGTACGCTTTATACCTCTTTATCTCCTGTGACGAATGAAATGCCTGGTGTAAACCTGACATTCAGTAAATATTTGTTCGTTAATGAGTGAGATACAACGATAAAGCAATGAGCTTGAGTCTAAGCATCATAAACAAATAACAATGCTTATCCCGCTGGGAATGCTACCCCACCCTCATCTCCATTAACCCAAATACTCTCTTCTTGGAGACCTCCCCTCATTCTAATTGCTCCTTACATGGGAAAGTGTTCATCTTTCCTCTGCCCCACTCTGGTCACTTAATTTCTCCAACCCCTGTAGCCCAACTGACAGGAGAAGAATGAAAGAGAGAAAGAAATTAATGTAAGACTCCATAGTGGCCTTTTTCCAAACAATAGGCAGCTATTTTCCTTTCTCTCAATTCCTCTCTACTCTTTCCCTTTGAATATACAGCTGTATTCCTGCTAATTTGCTTTGATCACTCCCTCAGGGGCTGTCATGGAATCAATTAGATCTGTACAGTTTTACAACTTGAGGTCACCCAGTGTGATTCCTCATTTTACAGATGAGAAAACTGAGGCCCAGAGAGGTTAATGTTTAAAACAATTACCTCTGATGGGTCTTGTAATACTAATCAGTGTCATTTTATAAGATGAATGTTCTCAATATCCAAGCTCCACATGAGTGAAAATCCTCATCCTAGGTATGTAAAGACCTGCTAGTGGGGACAGTCTCAGCCCTAAGGCGTACCTGCCAGGCAAGCCTCCTGCCCTGTTCTCATTCCACAGCTGCTCTAGTGTTGGGCAGTGCAAAGCCCCTGGCCAGGCCCAGGCCCCCACCCTGAATGGGGCCACTGGCTTCACTTATACCTTCGCAAAGAGGCCCCATATTTGTGCTGAGACCTAGTTGGAATCATGGATTATGAGACCTGCTGTGTTAAAGCAATGCAGAACAGTGAAAGAAGCCATCCTCCCCTCAGAAGTCACAGAAGGTCACCCGAGAAAACGTTTCCCAACAGCCCTGGAAAGGGAAGAAGTTTTGAAAATTTGATCTGAAACCCTGTCCTCTTCCCTAATATATTTGCTTTCTGGTTCCAGAGACCAGGCAAACAGAACATAATTTTAACAAACACATTTAAATAGAATATAACATGATTTGCAAGAAGGAAGAAAAAGCAGTAACTCCACATTAAGTCAATCAATAAGAAATTAAGCTAAATCCAGGTGAGAGGTTTGACAGTGTGAATTTGTACTCTGCATGAATTGTGGACTTGAGTACTCTCTCAGCTGTTGGTCTTGTCGTGAGCCTGGGAGCAGGCACATCCACAGGCACGCTTTTGCCCTACTCAGATGCTGTGATGGGATACTTTACACTGGCGATGCACTGTGGCTCTCAAGGGGAGAGAAAGCACCCCATTGTCCTGGTGCACAGGGCAGAGTGTGGTCACAGGGAAACCCAGAGGTCCTGCCAAGGTGGTGAACCCAGGCCTGCCTGGGGAGCATGAAATGCTGGGAGCTGGGAGGTTTTCCAGAGCTGGAATGAGGCAAAGAACAAAAGGTATCTTGGGTAGAAGTACAGTATGAGAACTTGCTTGGAGTATGAAACCTTGGGTTGTGGATTCGGAATATTCAAGTTTTTGACATTGAAGAAAGTACAGGTGATGCAAGGAGAAATGCTGAGGTCCGTAAAGGATAGTTGGGAATCAAGTGATAGATGGGGTTCTGAGTAAACTTGATGGACGACTTAATTCTCTATCTAGGGCAGTAAATCAGGGTGGCCTCTTTGTCCTCAAACTGATGCAAGGACACTGAAAGGACCTGACCAAGAACTTTAGACTGGGGAGGGAACTGGTATTCTGGGAGTGTTGTTAGAGACTGAGTGATAGCAGGTGCTGGAGAGTCTGGAGCGCGTGTGTCTCTGGGTGGCAGTGAGTGAGGTCACTGCAGAGGCCTGGGTGAGGATCAGTTGTCCCTATGCCCAGTTTTCACCCTTTCTGATGCCATGGCTCAATTTCAAGGACAGCCTTGCCTTTATCGTCCCACCTTGGCAAGGAGCTTAATATCTTGCAAGATGCAATTGAGGAACACTTCCTGCGCACATATAATTAGCTTTGAACTCCCTGAATGAAGATTCAAGTTTCTATATTTCAATTCTATACCGTGAATAATAGGCAATTAGCACAATATCTAAAGAAATGGGTATGATTTGATTACCTTTATCACAAGTGCCACATAGTCAAGGATTGTAACCCACTTTTCTTTTTCACATTAGTAAGTTTAATTTCTTGTAGGTGAGCAGAATGTAACTTTAACCTATTCCTGGGAGGATTCTCAGTTTTTTAAAGTGGGGCTCTGAGAGCTCCCACGTGTGAGCAGGTGTTTCCTCTTCTTCTGCAGCACAAAGAATAAGAATCACCCAGCAACTCTCCTTCGACTCCTGCCTTTACTAGCCCCTCCCATTGCGTGTTACTAGAAGAATCTTCTAGAAGTTCTTAGGCTTTTATAAGTACTTGTTTCTAGCTCCTCTCCTACACCTGCTCTTATGGCCATGTGACCATGGGGGAATTGCACAATGTCTTTTCATTTGTAAATTGGGGATAATGGTTCCTGGTTGTTGAGAATACTGAGAGACATTATCTAGTGTGTTTTTTTTTTCCCTTCCAATTGAAAAGGATGCTAAAAATGTGGGTTCTCTTTTCCAATGTGAAACATGGTTGTCTCCTTCTTGTTGAGAAATGTCCCTTTTTCCCTAAGTAACACCAACCAACATTCTTCTTCCTATATTTGCTCGAAATTTACCCATAGTGGAGTTTCATTGGCTTCATTAAGGGGCTCCCTTACACAGTCTAGCTCTTTCAAGGAGATTGATGTTATAAAACAATAGTTTATGAGAACCTAAGTTTGTTCAGAACTTGTCAAAAGCTTTGTATATGTGTGCTTTTTCAGAGATAGTAAGGGGTTTTATAGAAATAT